TTTCTAGTTGTCTCTGAGTGTGTGTGTGTGTGTGTGTGTGTGTGTCGATGATATCTGTGAGGCGGACAGCTCCGTTCAGCTTGGGCACATTCGTTGCGGCTTTGGACTTGGTTTATTGTCAACGTCCTTTGTCTGAGTGAGTGTGTGTGTGTGTGAGTGTGTGGAGGACACACACAAAAAGGACAACAGAGCGCAGCATTTGTTAATATCGCTGGCTTAACTAAGTGCCAATGCCTTTTATGTGATTTTCGGCGTATTCCGTCTCAAGCCACCATGTGTCTTTACAGGATTTGTCTACCCCTACCCTCTCCCTCTCCCTCTCTCTCTCTCTCTCGCTCTTTCACGCGCTGTATCTAGCTCTATCTCCATCGTCTTCTGCTTAGGCACTTAAATGAGATTTTCCAATGGCAGTAAAGCGTATTTACTGCCCTTTCATTCTGGAACTTTGGCAGGTGTGCTTGTGTGTCTGTGTGAGGTCATCTGAAAGCAGTGAGACCTTATTTAAGTATGACCATCCATGGTTTCAGTCAACTGCAGCGCCAGAGCAGAGCATCATTCGTTAAGTACTTTGTTTTGTATCCAGGTTTTAGCTGGATTCCGCATTGAATCTTATTTCGAATTCAATAAAACCGCACACACACACACACACACACACACACACACACTTTGGCTGAACTGGCGCACACGTGCCAGCCACGCCCATTTTAGCGCCTCAACAGCATATATAGTAAATTGCTTGTCTGGCATTTAATTTGATCTGTTGTTTGATTGTGTGCGTTTCACTTTAATTGAATTTTATGATGATAAACACACACACACACACACGGAGATACACATGCCACAGATAATGGACGGAAAGCTGGCAGTCAGGCCAAGGCAAATGCCCTTGCCCTCACCCCTAGCCTGCGAGCAAGCCATTTTGGACATTAAGTCTGGCACTTGAAATACGACCATGTAAAACTGTGATAAACATGGCTGTATCAAGCTTTTAAGCACATACACGCCCAACCTATCAGTTTTCTTTGGTTCTAAATGAATTTGTTGTGCAAAAATGAAATATAGATTACCCTTTTCTGAGTTCATTCAGCCAGCTTCATCAAATTAAGAGACTAAGCGAGCGGGTATAGGCGACTGCCCTTTAGCTCACTAAGCAATGCCTTTATACACGCCTCATAGTGGGCGTGGCTGAACGCAAGTAAAAATAATATTTAAAAAAATTAAAATCCAAAAAAACGAATATGCCCTGCGCTCTGCATTTGCAGGGCATATTTTACCTAATTGGAATGCATATTTGTTGAATTTATTTATTGTGTAAACATGTCTACGTTCGGCTAGCCCTAAAATAATAAAATTCCATATTTAACAAGTAAACTCATCGCTTTTCGTCAAAAGCAAACAACAATCAATTACAAAATGTTTGCAAAACTCAGGCACAGCCAACTTAATGCTGCAGTTAAAACAAATTTGTGCTGCCAGATCGTCAAACTAGTGAAGGGAAGTAGCTTCTTCTACATTGGCTGAGAGTATATGGATGAGTGACCTTCTGTGAGATTTTCTCTTTGTTTTATTGATTGCTAATTAGCATGATGCATTTCTATTAAGGAGTATAATGATCAATCTCTAATTCGATATATATCGATATATATCTATAAGTGTGTCATCTCCATACGAATATGCCTGCCTTTGGCGCACCCAAGTCCATTCCTTTTTTATATATCTGTTTGGTCACAATTATCGAAGAGTATATTGATCGATCTCTAATTCGATATATATCGATATATATCTGTAAGTGTGTCATCTCCATACGAATATGCCTGCCTTTGGCACAGCCAAGTCCGACCCGTTTTCATATACCTATCTGGTCACAATTATCAAAGAGTATATTGATCGATATCTAATTCGATAAATATCGATATATATCTGTAAGTGTGTCATCTCCATACGAATATGCCTGCCTTTGGCACAGCCAAGTCCGACCCGTTTTCATATATCTATCTGGTCACAATTATCAAAGAGTATATTGATCGATATCTAATTCGATAAATATCGATATATATCTATAAGTGTGTCATCTCCATACGAACATGACTGCCTTTGGCACAGCCAAGTCCGACCCGTTTTCATATATCTATCTGGTCACAATTATCAAAGAGTATAGATCGATATCTAATTCGATAAATATCCATATATATCTATAAGTCTGTCATCTCCATACGAATATGACTCCCTTTGGCACACCCAAGTCCATTCCTTTTTTATATATCTGTTTGGTCACAATTATCGAAGAGTATATTGATCGATCTCTAATTCGATATATATCGTGTGTCATCTCCATACGAATATGCCTACCTTTGGCACACCCAAGTCCGACTTGTTTTCATATATCTGTTTGGTCACAATTATCAAAGAGTATATTGATCGATACCTAATTCGATAAATATCGATATATATCTATACGTGTGTCATCTCCATACGAACATGCCTGCCTTTGGCACAGCCAAGTCCGACCCGTTTTCATATATCTATCTGGTCACAATTATCAAAGAGTATAGATCGATATCTAATTCGATAAATATCGATATATATCTGTAAGTGTGTCATCTTTATACGAATATGCCTGCCTTTGGCACACCCAAGTCCTACCCGTTTTCATATATCTGTTTGGTCACAATTATCGAAGAGTATATTGATCGATCTCTAATTCGATATATATCGTGTGTCATCTTCATACGAATATGACTGCCTTTGGCACAGCCAAGTCCGACCCGTTTTCATATATCTATCTGGTCACAATTATCAAAGAGTATATTGATCGATATCTAATTCGATAAATATCCATATATATCTATAAGTCAGTCATCTCCATACGAATATGACTCCCTTTGGCACAGCCAAGTCCGACCCGTTTTCATATATCTATCTGGTCACAATTTTCATGGGATTTAATTTAATGTAATTGCTGATTTGGTCTTTTTGTCTGTCTCATCGTGGGTCTGGTTTGTGCAACCGCAAATTATGGATATTATTTCAAAAACATCAAATATTATTGATAAATAATTCATTTAGCCGAATGGGGGCAGCCGCAAAGTGAAAGCCGCAGCTAAATGCATGCCGCATTCAGCGCTCACCAAATACAATATTGTTGACAACGGAAGTTGTCCAGGGGAGGGGGCGGGTCGTGTGGCCCAGAGACCGCTGCAACATTATGCGATTTCAACACCGCGCTGCATTATTAATAAAACAATCTGTTAAATAATCCATGGCAAACAAAGCGACCAGCATTTTCGGTAGCCAGCAAACAGACAAAGTGCAAACTTATCTAGCTGACAGCGCAGCAAAATGAGTTTTCGAACTGTGGAACTGTGATACAAGAAAGCGCTCCAAATCTCAACAAGCTCACAGCCCTTCTCGATCGTAGGCATGATCTAAAATAAAGTCTATTAACTGGCTGCATACCATATATGCCAAGGTGGTATACGAGTTTTAGATCCACTTGAAGCCACTTTTCAATGTTTAATGATTGTTCAATGAAGCAAAATATTGATAATAGATCTATACTGATCATGATCATACAGTTCAATATAGTTCGTATGGATGAATCTATTCAGTGTGTACTAAAGCTAGGATGGATGGATCTAATCCGTAAGTTATAATATCTAATATAGTTAGGAGGGATGGATCTATTCAGTGTCTAATATAGTTAGAATGGACAGATCTAATCCACGATAAGTTATCAAGTCAAATATGTTAGGATGGCTAGATCTATTCAGTATGAATGGATCTATTCATGATAAGCTATCAAATCTAATATAGTCAGGTGGGATGGATCAATTCAGTGTCTAACATAGTTAGGATGGAGAGATCTAATGAGTGATAAGTTATTAAGTCTTATATATTTAGGAAGGGTAGATCTATTCAGTGTATAATATAGTATATATATATATATATATATAGTATATAGTATATATTCAGTGATAATTCTAATATAGTTAGCATGAAAGCCTTCAATGTGAGCCCAATTTAAATGCCTCTGCTCGCATTTATTATGCCTAGGGCCAAACATTTTCTAGCGCGATAAAATGTTTATGATGCGTCCTTGATTAGATGCTAGTTGTAAATTCCATTAATATGATATCAGAAGAGCTGTCTGTGTCACAGGGAAGATAAGCTTTAGTTCAGTGAAAACTTGGATGCAGGCAGGCCAGCTGTGCCCAATCAATGAAATCATCTAGAAATATGCAGATAGTATCGCTTGCCTGAGCTTCGTTTGAACTAATTTAACTAAAAGCGCAAATGGTGCTGAATTGTCCGCATCGTTGTCCTGGCAAATGTATTTATCCTTCCGCACTTGTAAGTAAGCAGACCTCCGTAAGTCAGTCTCTGTCTCTGTCTCCGGGTCTATCTCTGTCATTGTCGCTGTGTGTTTGTGTGTGTGTTTATATCTATGTCTGTGTGTGTTTGTGTGACAATAACAATGCCATTATTCTTCGAGGCTTTTGGCACAATTTGAAATGGGGCTTTGCTGGCGGTTTGCCTGCGGCTCTGTGTTTCTCACTCAGTATCTGTTACTTACACTTAAGCGATTGCGGCCAGTTTCCAATGTCGGAGCAAATGAATTCAGACGGAGTGAAGCAATAAAAGGGCCTTACGCGAATGAACGTCGATCTGGCTCCATGGCAGGATCTTCATATACAATAGAAACAAGGCTTATAATTCTAAGGCAACTCAGGTCATTAAAGATGCGGGATTCCCAATCAAGCTGTAACTGTTATATAGCTATTATTAGAGATGTCGATTACCAAGCAACTGTTATATGGGTTACCAAAGTACTGTTATATTCCCATTACGAGAGGTGTGCATGCTGAAAGAACTGTTATACATCTATTAGATGTTATACATCTGTGTTATACAGCTATTACTGCGCATTTCCAAACTTTTGTATAGCTATTAGTAGTGGTGTCGATTTTAAAAAAACTGTTATACCGCTATTAATTGAAAAGTTAGTTCTTGCGTTTGGCTGTGCTCCTATAAAACAGTTATATAGATATTGCTTGTGAAAGAATTATCAAATAATTCTTATACAGTTGTTACTAAAGATTAAATTTTCATAGAAGCTGTCATCAATATTTTACCTAAAAGGGATTAAAAATAAATATTTTTTTAATTTTCAGAAACTCTTAAGAAACTGTTATACACTCTCAATTTTAAGTTTATGCTTGAAAAGAAGTGTTGTATAGCTATTAGTTGAGCTGTGTGTGTTTTAAGGGGCTTTTATATAGTATATATATTTGATTTTTTAGCTTACAGCGAACTGTTACACAGTGGATTTTAGGGATGTTACTTTGTACCATGTACAATTGTCGCTTGAGTATACTATATATATATATATATATATACATTTGTAGTCAACTGATAATCAAGACTTACTTCCAACTGTTATACTGCTATGATTAAAACCAATTAAACACAAAAGAACTGTTATATAAGCTTAACTTACGAGATTCTTTATGTAATATTAACATAGATACCAATCAAATTTGAGACAGACAACAACCAATTAATTCAGATAACTCAGTTAATTAGCTCTAATATAAACGAATAGCAACAATCTAATTTATGAATGTAAACAGAATGCTTACGCCCTTTCTGAATATAAGCTAAATATTCGTATTCGTCCACAACAATTTACAATAATTCAGAGCAGACGTCAGCTTATGGTTATCGTATGGATTCTGCTGCCGAGTTAGTTTTATTTTTACAGTGTGGAAGGCTACGGGAACGAATTATTTAAAAACTTTCTGAAAAGTGTTGCCCATACGCCATGTGGCTCTAATGTATGGAGGCCATTAAAACTGCAACAATTTCATGTTGCCCAACAGGCACAAATGCTGTTGCTTAAAATAATCCTATAGCAGGGGCCAATTGCTGCCACCTCAACAAACTATTTGGCTAAAAGGATTAGGCTTAAATGCCAAACGACAAAAAGTATTCGGGCTTCCAAATAGGGTTTGCACTCTACTCATAATTTATGGTTAAGTTGGAGTCCAAAGGAATTCCAATCGACTAAACAAGACGATTTCCGTAGCTGGACTAAATTAGATATTTAATACTATTTCTTTAGCTCCACACAGTCTACTCTCAGTGTTCTTAGCTTAAAATCCTTTGAGACTCACCCAATTACTAAGCAGAAGGGACTGAGATCCCTTTCGAGTAGATCGTGCGTATCGTGTCACGACACGGGTTCATCTCGACACACTTAGGACCTTCAGATGCTGTCCTTCTGTTTGTTTGTTCGCCTGTTTATATTGTTAATAAAACATTTTATTTTACGTCAAATGATTCTCATTTGTTGGACTCGTGTCTGTCTGTCTGCCTGCCTGCCTGAATGTCCTTATCGTCTGTCGCTGATGTCGGCTTGTGTGTCAGCTGCATTTAATTTGCGGGCCCACGTTGACTGTAAAAACGCGTCGTTTGCGACTGAAATAATAAAATGAATGGGCGACAACAGCAGTCCGAAGAGAAAATACTCTCAAATACCCTTGAAGTGCCTATTATTGATGGATTATTGTCATAAGAGTCTTATGGATGGACTGAAGGACACGCCATAAATACCCTCGACGAATAGCTGTGAAGTGCTTTAAGATGATGGCAAGTGCATAACAGGCACACAGACATCTGAAATGCCCTATAAGAATCGTTTCGATGAGCCTGCACAGATCACTGACAGTTGGAGCTGCACCTTGGCTGAAAAGTATGGCACTGTGTACTTGCGAAAGATCTAGCTTGGCTCAGTTGGAGCAGGAAGGGCATAGGATACGACAGAGCTGGCTTACCCGCTCGGCAAGGGTATTAAGGAGATTGGCAGCTCTTCGCACACTTGGAATATATATTTGCTGCGTGCCCGTCAGTCAAAAGTTACTTAACACCCACCCACGCACTTCCACACACCCACACACACACACGCACACACAAAGGATTAACGGTAAACACAAGAAATTACAATTTTAAGCATATGAATTAAATGAAAAAGAAGAAGCAGAAGCAAAAACAAGCGAATGGCAAACAAAATAAAGCTACAGCTCTTTAAAGGCTGGCGCTCTTTAAAAAGCCATCAGGAACAGCGGCTGTGGGAGGGGCGTCTGTGTGGACATGGGGCTGCCAGGATGTTGGTCGCCCACTGTGCTGTGCTGCGTATGCCAAAAGCTTCCGTTGGTTATCCAGAAAACTGTTCTCCGATGACAGCAATTGCCCCGGCCTGGGCCAAGCGTCAACGCTTCATTGGATTTTAGGCAATCATAAGTAGGACGTCTGCTGCTGTCTGCCCAGCAGTCTGCCTCTGTCGCTCTCGCTCCCACTCTCGCTCTATCTATTTTTTTGCTATCTCTTTCGCTCTATCTGTGTGTCTGTCGGACTGTAGCTGCCACCGCGTCTGGCCGCATCGCTGCCCTTTTTGGCTAAAAGGGAAATGCTTCACAAAAAATGTAGAGTGCCTGCGGCAAACGAGGCAACGAAGCTGCAGCCGGGCATGTGGCATGTGGCATAGGACACCGGACCGCCGGAAAGCAATGTTGGCGTTGGCACAGCTTTCAACTGCAGAGACGATGCCCAAATTCAACGTGCCCTCCATGAGCGCTGAGCTAGAACATTCTAGCCGCTCCCTTTGATGGAACGTAGAGCATTATAGATTTCCATGCAGCATCCATTAATATTTATGCATACTCCAATTTGTAGTCAGTTTCCATTTAAGTGCATATTAAGTCTTTTTTTTTGCTAGTCTGCGCTTAAACTAGCTACAATTTGTAAGCGCTGAGCTTGGAAAACGTTCGAATTCCGTATTTTTAGCAAATTTTTATATTTTGTGAAATTCGTCTTTGAGCTGACTTTTTGGACGTATTTATGCGACTGTTGATGCTAGGCATCGAACGTTTTATGGTATTATATTATTAATTAAAATTCAAAAATTAAAATTTATTAAAGATCTAAATGCAATTATTTTTCATTGAAATATCCTCTACAAATCTTGACTAGTGATTAAAAGCGTGCAGTAAGCTCATAACTTGCATTGAGCAACAAAAGCTCATTAAAGCTTGAGATGGAAATATTTTAGATATAAGCTTATCCAGCCTTAAAGCTCACTCAGTCAAAATAAAAGTTTATTACAGCGCAACCTTTATATCTACAGACAAAGAGACTTCCCCAAGCAGCTTTAACTTCCCCCAAAGACACAAGAATTTCAATTAGTTTTAATATTTTTTTGTGGTTTTTATTTTTTAATGTAATTTTATTCATATTGAATTATTTATTTGGTTTATATTTAGACTATTTACGCATATCTTACTATTTGCTGCTAGAATCCAGAAAAATTGTTCGCGCTTCCATTGACATCAACATTAGCAAACTCTCATTATCCGTCTTTCTTTCGTGCTTCTCCGTTTTGGTTTTCCTTTGTGAGTACAGAATTTTCTAGTTCAAGTGTCATTTGGAGTACTTTGGAATTGGGTTTTCATTCAATTGCTGTGTAGTGAGGGGGTGAGGGGGTGCGGGGGGTCGAAGAATTTGTTTGCGCTTCATATTTCTTACTTTTACGTTCATTAATCTTAATCTAAGGTATGCCGACATCCATTCCATCTATACGTTGTGCTGCCGCTGCTGCTATGCCTTTCCGTCTTACAATACATATGCGTAAGTGTGTATATATGTTGATTCGTATTCACTATTTGGACACAAAAAAAAAGTATAGACACCGACTTTTACAACATCTGTGTAAATTGGGTATTCATATTTTACGAGGCCTGTTTCGCAATTCGTGTATGGGCGCATAATACTTATGTTTAATACTCGAATGTTTATGATTCCCGTTCAATTATATTATAATGTGCACAGATCATAAATATATGTTTATTTGCCTCTCACTTCAGCTATGCTCTGTTCGGCAGAGCTCAAGTGGAGTATATTGGCTTAGCGATTGAAAATTGAAATATATATGTATGAAATATGCGCGTCAGACAGCTTTCTACGCTGCTTACTGAGGACGTAGAATAGGTTTAGAAGTGGATTTTAGTGCCTAGGGTGATCATATTTGAATTCAAGCTGTTCACTAGACGCCAAGAGTGATGCCTAGGGTGACCACATTTGGCTTCAAGCAGAGAATTTGTTTCTCTACACAATTCGCATTATGCCTAGGGTGACCATATTCGACTTCGAGTGACAAGTGGCTTCTCTATTTATCTAGGATAATACATAGACTGATCATATTGGGATTCAAGTTGTCAATAGGCTACTTTGCACACCTAAAGTGATAGCTAGGGTGACCATATTTGTGTTCAAGTTGAGAATGGGTTTCACTACAGTTAAAAATATCTGTTGAAAACACCAAGAGAAGGAAGTAGTAACTTGGGAAAGTCAATACTTTCTAGTGTTTAATTTAAAGTGACCATATTTTCCTTATGAAGGGAAAGACTAGCTTTCCATAGATACAGTGTTATATATATTGTTGTTGCACCCATTTTATCGCTCAGTTGTGCATATTTCAGTGATTTAAGATTTAGAGTGACCAAATTTCGAGCGATGGGCTTTGCTGGAAAATACAAAAGTAAGCTGCAAATTGTTCAAAGACAATCTCATTCAATATTCGAGTTAGAGTGTGCAAATTGAGTATGAAAAAGAAGCTAATCTCTGCTAGATTCGATTTCTAGAGTGACCAAATTGGGAAAATGAAATGCATAAATATTAACTTGCGCCCACTGCGTGTTGTGGCAAATCGTAATTGTAATGCAATATCTCTTAGTATTTATCTCTATATATAGAGCTAGCGTTTTGAATATGTGAACGAGTATTGTGCAGTCGGCTGTACCCGATTGCAAAAGCTACTTTTATTTTATGTTGTTTTTTTTTGCGTTTTTTTTTCTTCCTCTGCTGTCCTTTGGCGAGGAAACGAAATTTGACGAAACAGACGCTCCTAATGGTTGTGTATCTTATGTGTATATTACGAGTAGCTCTGTAAACATTTATAGTAGTATTTATCATACTTTAGATTTGGCCTTTGGTATGCAACCACCTTTCCCACTGCGCACCTGATTTCGATTTTTTTCTGTTCTATTGCCTTAGCTGTTTCAATGTGTGTGTGCGTGTGTGTGTGTGTGGTGTTCGTTTGTGGTTTGTGCTGCAAAGAATTGACATTTTTGATGCTCCCCATTGAAAGCTGCTGCTGCTGCCATATTCTCTCCCTCTCCCTGTCTCTCTCTCTCTCTCTCTCTCTCTCTCTCTCTTATTCACTGTCTAACTATCTATCTTTTTCTGTCAAGTTCTTGAGTTTTCTTTCGGCTGCTTTGCGTTTCCGCTTGGCGTTGACTAACAGCTTGAGTTTCCGTTTTGGAGCTGGGCGGGGTGGGAGGCGGACATAGCCAAGTTTTACAAACTTTGGCCAGAATGTGGATATGCTAGCTGCTGTTGCTGCTGTTACTGTTGTTGCCTGTTGGCTGTTGGCTGTTGGCTGTTGGCTGTTGAGTAGGTGCTTTTGGTGGCTTTGAATCAGGCAACGACATCAACTGATTCAATTTGCTAGCAATGCAGCTTTGATTTCTCTTCTCTTGAATACCAATTATATAGCAGAGGGTTAAGGGGTTGGCCTGGTACAAAGTGGCGGAGGTGTGGTTGTGGGTGTGTGACAGTGTCGGAAATGTGTGCTAACTGTAAAAGTCGCTTCAATTACAGTTGCTGCTGGTGTTTAGCCCAAGATCTTCTTGAAATAGCTAACGGTTTCCGGTTTTGTTAGCGAACGTCGTCGATTTGGCTTGAATGGCGCCTCAGTTTCCTCCTGCAGGAAGTTGCGCCGTGTTGTGGCGCTCGTTAACTCCAGCTCATCCACATTCGCATTCTCGGGCTCCGACTCCGGCTCCGGCTCCGGCTCAATAGGGGCAACAGCAACACTTTCGCTTTCCAGCTGCAGCTTTGCGGTGACCTTTACTGCTGTAGTTGTTGCTGCCTCTGCTGCGGTAGTTGTTGCTGCTGTTGCTGTTGCTGCTGCTGTTGCTGCGGTTGCATTTGAACTGTTTTCATTAGCTGTTGGCTGTTTTGTTGCGGTCGCTGCTCGCAGCTGTGGTGCCTCCGTAGCAAGCACATTGCTAGATGCCTTTGTTGCTGTCGCTTCTGTTGTTTTCGCCGTTGCCTTGGTAGTTGTTGTTGCTGCTGCTGCGGTTGCTGTTGCCCTGGCTGCGCTAGCTGTTGGCGTCACAAGTGTAACTGGCGCTGCTGTTCCTGTTGCTGTAACAATATTCTGCAGACTCTTTTGCTCGACTGCTGCTGTTGTTGTTGTTGCCATGGTTGTTGTTGTTGTTGATGCTGCAGCAGTTGTTGTTGTTGCTGTAGCTAGTGGACTGTTGTTAACATGCTCCCAGTGCTCTGCATGCTCGCCATGCTTGGCTGGCGGCACATAGTGCGACTTGACCAGCAGCATTGGCGGTATGAAGTGCGAATTGTCGGCCGTTTCCTTGACATGCGGATGGGACAACTCATCGCGTGCCTGCTGCACCGGATGAATGGGATGTGCGATGCTCACCATTGTCGACGTGCCCGATGGTACGGCTGTTGCCGTTGCTGTTGCGGCTGTTATTGGTGTTGCAGTTGCTGCTGGGACGTTGGTGGTGCCAGTGCTGCTACTGTATAAATTGGGAGTGTTACCGGTGGCGACAACAACTGTTGTATCTGTATCCGTTTCCATTTCCGTTGCTGTTGGTGTTGCTGCTGTTGCTGCTCCGGTTGTCGTTATCATAATGTTGTCACGGGTTGTTGTTGCTGGTGCTTTTGCTGTTGTCGTTGTTGTGGTTGTTGTGGTTGTTGTTGTTGTTGTTGGTTCTGCTGTAGTCGTTGTTGCCAGTGTTGTTGTGGCTACCGTCGATGTTGCTGCCATTGTTATTGCTGCCGCTGTGGTTGTAGTTGTAGTTGCTGCCGTTGTGGTAGTTGTTGCTGCTGTTGTCGGAGCTACCGTTGTAGTTGTGGTTGCTGCAACGGTGGGCGCTATAGTGGTTGTTGTTGTTGTACTGGCAGTTGTTGTTGTTGCTGCCGTTGTAGGCGCCATTGTTGTTGTCGGCAACTGCTTGACAGTTGTTGCTTGCTCGCTAGCTGCTGCTGCTGCTGTTGCTGCTGCAGCAGCTGTTGTTGTCTCGACTATAGTCTGCATGGTCCTCAGATCCTGCGGCAATATCTTCTTCTTGTGCGGCAAGGGCTCGAATATCTCATTGGACACATCGCTATTGCTGACATCGTCCGGTAACTGCTCCTCGCTCAATGCCGGCTGATCGCCCATCATCATGTCCAGGTGGGCGAGCGGCCTGGGCGTTGCCTTTCGCAGCTGCGTCTGGTGCTGCGCCTGCAGCTTCTTGGCGTACTCCTCGTTGAGGTTCACCTTCTTCGCTGACTTCTTGACGGGCATGGGCACCTGGTCGGGTATATTATAGTGCACCACGGACACCGGTTCATCGGCCATCATGAGCCTGTCCAGGCTGAAGCGTTCGAGTGGTGCGACGGTGTCCACCTCGATTTTGACACCTGCAGCCGCATAGTGGGGCAGCAGCTCGATGTCGTTGTTCTCGTTGTTGTCGGTCCGAATGCTCTTGATGATTTGCAGCGACTTGAAGTGCGAGTTTGTGATGTCGTTGATTCGCTGCGCCTCCAAGCGCTCCTTGGGGCAGATCAGCTCGCGTACGGCCCGCTCGCGGTCCTGCAAGGAGTGCAAACACAACGAAAAGACGGAGACCGAAAGAGAGTTGGAAAGAAATTTGTATAAGGTTGGGCTGCCTTCACTTACCTCCTTGCCCTTGCAGGTGTGTCGCAGTAGACCCTCCTCCTGACAGTTCCTAATGAGCTCAATGCTGGCTGTATCCGCCATGTATTGCATAGTCAAATTGGGCATCTCCTTCAGTATGCAGGCATCCGCCCAGCTGGGCACTGTACAGCACAAGAGCAGAAGAGCAGAAGGCTTTAGCCCCATCTCCCTCAGGCACCTACTCCCACTCGAACTTACCAGGCATTTCGCAGAGGAATGAGGCTGTCTCGGGGCCACCGCAGCGCAGCGCATGCCATCGATAGTCGCGTATGGGATCGATAACAGCGCAGAGCGGGGCGTCCATCAGTGGCAACGATTCTGCCCAATAGCCAGTGTCCACAACCAGAGGACGTGAGTTGCTATATATACAGTTATATATATATATATACAAATCTGACTAAAAGTTATATATAACTGAAGGCAAGCTCAGGCTTGCTAATAATTAAACACTACATCTGAGCCCATTTCAATAATTAGCTATTAAGTATTACAGAAAAATAATCTAATTTTTATCTGCATGTTAAAGTGCTTGTTTAGTTTAAAATAATGTCTTATGTCTAGCTTAACTGCCAACAATTGGCCTAGCGGTCGCGCCTAGCATACAGTTGAAGTGCATGTTACAGTAGTTTTTAAGTATTACAAGCAAAAAGTCCAATCGAACTTTTTTTATCCACATGTTAAAGTGCTTGTTAAGGTATCTGCATTATAAATTATGTCTAATGTCTAGCTTAAGTGCCAGCAATTAAAGAGTAAACACCTTATCAGAGCTCATGTCAATTAATGTGATTATCCACATGTTAAAGTGCTTGTTAAGTTTAAAATAATGTCTAATGTCTAGCTTAAGTGCCAGCAATTGGCCTAGCTGCAGCGTAAGAGATTAACATACGGTTTAAGTGCATGTTAAAGTAGCTTTTAAATATAATAAACAAACAATCCAATCGAACTTTTTTATCCACATGTTAACGTGCTTGTTAAGTTATCTGTATTATAAATTATGTCTAATGTCTAGCTTAAATGCCAGCAATTAACTAAACACCTTATCAGAGCTCATGTCAATTAATGTGATTATCCACATGTTAAAGTGCTTGTTAAGCTTAAAATAATGTCTAATGTCTAGCTGAACTGCCAGCAATTGGCCTAGCTGCAGCGTAAGAGATTAACATACGGTTGAAGTGCATGTTAAAGTAGCTGTTAAGTCAAACCATAAGCTATAGAAGACAGCAAGCAGTTGAGTAATGCAAGTCTTTTAACTAGCATTTCTTCGCTGTTATTGTTAACATTAACAGTGTAATAATAACATAAATGCAGAGTGAATGTCAGATGATTAACTAGAGCTTGCTGCCATTCTTACTTCAATGCATGCTCGTAACTTTTAGCTTAAAAACTTTTCCAATAGCTTCCGGCTTAACTCTGCGCTAACGATTTTAAATTGAAACTTCTAAGTATTAAAGAGCTCTCGCATCATGGCTCGCATGCCAAAAATAAACATATCAACACGAACAACACAATTACAAAACAATGTAGTTGTATTGTTGTTGTTGTTGTTGTACTTACGACCACATGAAACGATCCGAGTTCTGCGGCCGCATGAGTCCAATCCAAACGATGTCGTTCACATCCAATTCCCTCAGCAGGTCGCGAGTTGCATCAAATTGAAAACTGTTGTCGACTGGCAGCAAAACAGAAACAAAAATAAGAGAGGCAAACAACAAGCAACACATGCGACAAAAAACAACAAAAGTAAAAACAATAAGAATGGCCCAGCGAGAACCGTGGGCCAGCAGTAGGAGAAGGAGATAGAGAAACAAATGGTTTTTATTTGTTCAATGCGAATATTTCTATTTAATTTGTCCGGCGTATGGTTTTTGTTTTGCTACCCGTGTTGGGCATGCGGCACATTTGCCAGCAACAGCGACCACAGAAACCACTCCGAAATCCGACCGAAAAACCCGTTCGCCACCCCAACCCACTCCGCGCAGCTAGACAAGCCAGGCAGACAGCCGGACAGAGCAGCGGCTGGTCTAATCCGATGCATGTTCTCAGCTTGTGTTCGTACCAAAAATATTTACGAAAACAAGGAAAAAAGTGTTCAATGTAACTGTGGGCAAGGGCGAGGGCGGGGGCTGCAAATGTGTTCAGGACAATAGATACCTTGCAGCGAGAGGCTGCCAGAGCTGAAATCCGTGAACAAACTGGACTCAAATGTAGGGTATCTTTTAGTCTCACAGCAGCATCACCTGACCAATGTAATTGTGATTTAATATGCGTATGTATCACAGGGTATCTGCTAGTCACTGTGAGTTTTATACTAAGAACAAAATAAGGCCTGAATATAGGGTATTAATAGGGCGTTTCGTTCAGTGTGCAGGGCATTCTCTAAGCGGTTCTGCAAAAGTAGCAACCTCAAAAATGTATATATAAAGGGTATATCATATATAGCATTTTTTACTCTACATTTAAGACCTGTCTACAGGGTATCTTCTAGTCAGCAGCTTTACTGTTGCAGTTTTAACTCAAAGGGTATCTTTAAGTCGTTTATTTAAGCATTGCACTGTGAGCATAAATTGATCTGAATTTGCATTTGAGCTGCCTACAGGGTATCTATCAGTCGTCCACTGTCGTTTCCTGCAGTTTCTTATTTTAACTTTAATTTGCTTGCTTTTCGGCTCGTTCTGTCATTTACTTCTTCTTCTTCTTCCTCTGCCTCTGCCTCTGCCACTGCCACTGCCTCTGGCTCTTCCTCTTCCTCTTCTTGTTCTTATTCTTCGTGTTCTACTGCTTCCACTTTTCCACTTTGTACTACATTTCTTATTATCCTTGTTTCTGTTTCACACATTTACATGCATCCCTGATTCTCAAATTGTTTATGCACACTGACACCCGCCCATGACACGCCCGCCTCCGGGCCACGCCCCCTACAGCTGGCTGACCCGGGGACAATTGTGCGCTCGAATGAACTTTCGGTGTTGTACACAAGTTGAAGCAAACTATGAGTGAAGCATATGAATCTATTTATAAGGATAAAGGACAATGCAATCCAATCAACCGGTTTAGTATTCGAGTCAGATTTGTGAGAAACTCGTTGGGGCCCTTCCCTTGAATAGCTTTGTACGCATTGAATAGCATGGTGCTGCGCTGGCAAAAGGGGCCGGCGCTTGTCTTAGCCTTGGCAACGACTCTTAAGTATCGACAAGGGTCTTAATACCAATCGATGGCATCTAGTGAGATATATACGTTAAATCAATTAAATGCTATCTAAGCATTAAGTCATACATCTATGAAGCTCGACAATTGGTTTGATCTTTGGACAGAAATGGATGGCAAGATGCACACGCCTTCAAGCTGCATCATAACTGCATCACATATCTTGATGGACGAGCACTGGGGAGATATCTGCTTAGATAAGATTTCTTTGGTTTTACTTATTCTTGTGATCAGAGTTCTTCCTAGATTTCGATTTTAAGCCCAGCTCAAATAGCCTGCCAAATTGCATCCTTCTCTGTCTCAGCTTTGTTCCCTCTAGTCTCCTGCTATATGAAATTAAGGAAAAGAGCTTGAGCTGAGCTGCCTGCCTTAGCTAACAGACCCTGTACAATTTGTTCATTTAGTTGCTCCTCGTTCAACCTCTCTTCCTCTCCCTCTCTCTCCTTTCGCCCACTGCATACCTCTGCACATAAGCAACATAGCTACATATATACATATCCAGAGCAATTTGCCTGCTTATCAGATTTGCAGCTCTGATCGGATTTAGCAGATTTTGCAGAATATTTTCGATTGCAGTCACACAATTTGCATTGTCTTTGAGTGGCATGAACAATTTATCAACAATCTACTTAGCTATTTACGACGACCGTATGCACATGAGCCGGTTGAGCGACCTATTGTTGATTTAGCTGCTGTGAGCCCGCCTCCTCCGCCGCTTCCCGTACGGCTGGCCCGCATTGCAGTGTCCGGTATTTGTGAAAGGGATTTATTATGTTTGTGCCGTATGTGGTGCAGCCACATGATAAAGCCTGTCGTACGAGATCCTTTGGCTGGCCGTTAGACCCAGGCAGGCATTGGGTGCAGGCATTGGCACTGGCACGGGGTGCCCCTTCTAAAGGGCTTCACTCTTGACTCGCAGGACCTTCAACTGCGTCATTTTGCAGTTGCAACCGCTTGGCTGTCAGATGAAGCCTGTTACAGCCAGCGCTGTGACAACAGCTGCCGGACATTTACAATAGCCCCCACCTCTGGCTCCTCGCCCCTTGGCTACCTGCTGCTTACCCCTCCTTCTCTCAAATTCTCTGTTGTGATTGGGCTTATTTGCATTTCACATTTTGTTGGCATTTACCATTGCTTTATATGCACTCTTTGTTATCGTTGGCCCTGCAGCCCGAGCACCTGCTGTCACACAATGTCCACATGTATGGCAGACATCTTTCCGTTTCCTTCTCATTTTCAGTCTTCTTTTCTTGTTTTTTTTTTTTTTTTTTTTTTTTTTTTTTTTTGTGCAGCTAGCTTAGCCGAAGCCTCAAGCTGCACCTTTGACTTGGCTTTGCGGCCAGCTGTCTGCTAGCCTCTACCCAGCTCACTGTCTTTCACTTACCTGTCACCAGATTGGCATGATGGAACTGGCAAACGGCGTCTGCCTCAAACCAGGAGATGCGATCACGAAAGAAACGATAGAACACATTCAAGCCCTCCTGCGGCATGGTCCAAGTGTTGCTTACGTTCACCTGTGAATGAGAAAGAGTGGAGGACTGATGAATACGAAAGTGAACAAGAATACGAATACGAATGCGAATGCGAATACAAATACGAGAAGCAGGTGAAGGAGAAGGCTATTTTTTGCGTGTCGCCTTTGGGTTGTCAGTGGCGCTGCTCGGTGATGGGCCACGCGGCGTATGCCTAATGCATTAAGTATACGCCACGTAAAACGCTTACATTTTAAATGTTGTCCCACACACACACAAAATGAGGCAAGAACATAAAAAAACACAGTTTCACATATTATGCATGCAAATGTGTGCGTGTGCACGTGTGTGTGTGGTTGTTGTGCGTGCCTATGTGTAAAGGCGGCAGCACAACAAAATATAAGATGAATATAACGAAGAGCAATGTTGCTTTGAAGAGCGGCATATGTGGGGGCATATATGTAAATATATTTATGTAGATATATATATATATATATATATATATATATATATATATACATATATATATATATATATATATATATATTTATATGTAAATATGTACTTCATTAGCCGAGGCAGCAGCTGCTAGCAGGTGAATAACGAGTAGAACAGCCAAACAGGCAGAAGGCCTGGCAAACACACAGCCCAGGTTGAAGGCAGCAAGTTCTTTTCTTTTCATTTCCTTTCATTCTTTTTAATAACCAACAAGGACATGAAGCGATGTGGCAGGGAAAGCAGCTAGCCAGCCAGCCAGTCAGCCAGCCGTGAAACCGTTGCGACGCTTAGGCCCTGTAATGCGAATGAGACTGACTACGGCGGCACATTAACTAATTACGAATGCAAGGAAGCGCGGAGCGTGAGCCAAGCGAAAATAAATATGCATATAAACAGAAGCCAGACGTGAATAAAGCGCGCATCAAATCTTTTCATACCCCTCACACTCCCTCGCAAAAAATGTTGAGCATTACTTAAAAGTACTTAAGCTGCCCACAAATGCATTAAGCAAAACAAAATGAATCAACTTGCATTTGCGAAAGCTTCATATATACGTATATCAGTAATGTAACGAACCGCACTGCAAACTGAGTTACAAATATTTACCAGGCAGTTAGTTCTGCAATAATAAATGCAAACATTCATTCTGAGAGTCGAGTCCACTAATTATAAGCAGAACAAAACATTTCAGCAGTGAGAAGAACTTTTAGCAGCTATTATCGGTAACTATCATTATCAGCAGCATCTAGCATCGATGTCATCAGCTAAGCGAGCATCGAGTGCGCATCATGCTATCAGCTATCACAGCAGCAGCTACACGATCATCGAGCATGTCATCATCAGCAGCAGCAATCGAGCACTATCAGCAGCATGCGAGCAAGCGAGCAGCGAGCAGCGAGCAGCATGCAGCGAGCAGCGTAGCAGCGAGCAGCGATCATCGCAGCAGCAGCAGCAGCCAGCTAAGCAGCAGAAGCAGCAGCAGCACAGCAGAGCCGAGCAGCGAGCACGAGCATCGAGTCAGCAGCAGCAGCAGAGCAGCATCTATCATCTATCATCTATCATCTATCATCTATCATCTATCATCTATCATCTATCATCTATCATCTATCATCTATCATCTATCATCTATCATCTATCATCTATCATCTATCATCTATCATCTATCATCTATCATCTATCATCTATCATCTATCATCTATCATCTATCATCTATCATCTATCATCTATCATCTATCATCTATCATCTATCATCAACATCTATCTATCATCTATCATCTATCATCTATCATCTATCATCTATCATCTATCATCTATCATCTATCATCTATCATCTATCATCTATCATCTATCATCTATCATCTATCATCTATCATCTATCATCTATCATCTATCATCTATCATCTATCATCTATCATCTATCATCTATCATCTATCATCTATCATCTATCATCTATCATCTATCATCTATCATCTATCATCTATCATCTATCATCTATCATCTATCATCTATCATCTCATCCTATCATCTATCATCTATCATCTATCATCTATCATCTATCATCTATCATCTATCATCTATCATCTATCATCTATCATCTATCATCTATCATCTATCATCTATCATCTATATCATCTATCATCTATCATCTATCATCTATCATCTATCATCTATCATCTATCATCTATCATCTATCATCTATCATCTAATCATCTATCATCTATCATCTATCATCTATCATCTATCATCTATCATCTATCATCTATCATCTATCATCTATCATCTATCATCTATCATCTATCATCTATCATCTATCATCTATCATCTATCATCTATCATCTATCATCTATCATCTATCATCTATCATCTATCATCTATCATCTATCATCTATCATCTATCATCTATCATCTATCATCTATCATCTATCATCTATCATCTATCATCTATCATCTATCATCTATCATCTATCATCTATCATCTATCATCGAGCAGCGAGCAGCGAGCATCGAGCATCGAGCAGCGAGCAGCGAGCAGCGAGCAGCGAGCAGCGATCAGCGAGCAGCTAGCAGCGAGCAGCGAGCAGCGAGCAGCGAGCAGCGAGCAGCGAGCAGCGATCAGCGAGCAGCATCAGCGAGCAGCGAGCAGCGAGCATCGAGAGCGAGCAGCTAGCAGCGAGCAGCGAGCAGCGAGCAGCGAGCAGCGAGCAGCGAGCAGCGAGCAGCGAGCAGCGGCAGCAGCAGCGAGCAGCGAGCAGCGAGCAGCGAGCAGCGAGAGCCAGCAGCGAGCAGCGAGCAGCTAGCAGCTAGCAGCGAGCAGCGAGCAGCGAGCAGCGAGCATCTAGCAGCAGCATCGAGCAGCGAGCAGCGAGCAGCGAGCAGCGAGCAGCGAGCAGCGAGCAGCGAGCAGCGAGCATCAGAGCAGCAGCGAGCAGCAGCAGCGAGCAGCGAGCAGCGAGCAGCGAGCAGCGAGCATCGAGCAGCGAGCAGCTAGCAGCGAGCAGCGAGCAGCGAGCAGCGAGCAGCGAGCAGCGAGCAGCGAGCAGCGCAGCGAGCAGCGAGCAGCGAGCAGCGAGCAGCGAGCAGCGAGCAGCGAGCAGCGAGCAGCGAGCAGCGAGCAGCGAGCAGCGATCAGCGAGCAGCGAGCAGCGAGCAGCGAGCAGCGAGCAGCGAGAGCGAGCAGCGAGCAGCGAGCAGCGAGCAGCGAGCAGCGAGCAGCGAGCAGCGAGCAGCGAGCAGCGAGCAGCTAGCAGCGAGCAGCGAGCAGCGAGCAGCGATCAGCGAGCAGCGAGCAGCGAGCAGCGAGCAGCGATCAGCGAGCAGCGAGCAGCGAGCAGCGAGCAGCGAGAGCGAGCAGCGAGCAGCGAGCAGCGAGCAGCGAGCAGCGATCAGCGAGCAGCGAGCGGCTAGCAGCGAGCAGCGAGCAGCGAGCAGCGAGCAGCGAGCAGCCAGCAGCGAGCAGCGATCATCGAGCAGCTAGCAGCGAGAAGCGAGCAGGCGAGCAGCGAGCAGCGAGCAGCGAGAGCGAGCAGCGAGAGGCGGCAGATAGCAGCGAGAGCGGCAGCGAGCAGCGAGCAGCGAGCATGCGAGCGGCTATCATCTATCAGCTACATCTATCAGCGAGCATCTATCATCCATCATCTATCATCTATCAGCTATCAGCCTATCATCTATCATCTATCATCTATCATCTATCATCTATCATCTATCATCTATCATCTATCATCTATCATCTATCATCTATCATCTATCATCTATCATCTATCATTTATCATCTACCATCTATCATCTATCATCTGTCATATATTATCTATCGAGTGTAACATATATCAGTTTGATAACTTTTTTAACTGATGGTTGGGCCTGACAGGCAAATGACATGTTGCTTTTAACAGCATCATGAACTTTTTGCATGCAAATAAATTATAAATTCTTAACTTAATTTGCATGCTGATTTATTTTTTGCGAAGCATTCCACGGCGCACTTTTATTTTGTTATTTTTATTTCATAAATTTGTGTTATTGCTTTATTGTGTTTTTTCATAAGTATTTCGTATTCATACTTATTCATTTTTGCCGTTTTCAAATTGCAATTAAAAGATGAAAGTACGCGGGCGCATGCTCTTCGCGTCTGTCAAACAATTTCAATTAAAAGTTAATTAAGTTAATGAAATGCTTTTTGGCTCGCTTTGCACATTGTTGTCCTACACTGAGGCAAAATGTGAAGCGAAAGAAAAAAAATAATATTTGCCCACACGGCGTGTGCGCAATGCACTCACAGACTCCCAACACAACACGGTCCCTCCCCGCTCTCTGTCTGCCTCTTCCTCTCGCCATCTCGATGCCAATTTGTATACGAAATAACTACATTTGTATTCATTTGATGTCGGAACTGCTTTTAATTTCCTTGTACAACGTGAATTTCATAAGCTTTGGCAGATGCCAAAGGGAGCGAGACAGATGGAGAGCGGGAGCAAGGGAGAGAAAGTATATTTTTTCTACGCTAATTGTTCATGTGGCATACAATTTTCATAATGACGACTATCGATTACGTGTGCAATGCAGAAAGAAAAAATGTTCTTTCTGATCACATTCCGCATAAAACTGTGAAAGAATTTTTTATTCTTAATTGAAATCATATCGGAATATGCGCAATATTTAATGAATATACGTTAGCTGAGCATTCTGCAAAAAACTCTTGATGTGATAAAATGAAATATATATCGATATTATATGCATAAAGTAAAACGTATTTACATATCTATATATTAAGTCTTGTTTCAGCTGCTTTGGATTTCGCTTTTCAGTTTTAATGTGAATCAAATTATAAACCAGAGCCAAACCGAAATTCGAGGCATTTTTAAAAATTACAGAGAAACCAACGTATACACGTAAATAATATCATGTATCTTTGCATAAGCCCGAAAATAATATGAGCTATCGAAAACACAATGATAAATGCGAACATAAGAATTTGGAATTTCTCTAGCTTTTGTAGAGAGAAGAGTATAAAAGTTAAGCTAAAAGTTCATGGGCGAGCATAGGAAAA